CTTGCAATTCTGGGACGTTCCACCCCAGTGCTGCACTAGAAAGATGGCTTCTCTCCTGGGAATGGCTTTGGGGAAGAGCGACTCGGCGGAAGTGCACCGCATCCTTGGCTCCGGAGAACTATACCTCCGCGCGAGGGTTTGGCTGGATGGTCGGCTCCCCTTGCCGGTTTCGGTCCCTGCAGCTCATGACAAGGGGGGAATAGGGCCATTCACGGCGGCTATTACCTACAAGAGACTTCCCCAATTCTGCTACTTGTGTGGTGTTCTAGGCCACATTGGGCAACAATGTCCCAGACGTGATGAGCTTGCTGGCGCAGAGACACCTTATGGCAAACACTTGATCGCGACCAAATCTGGCCCCAAGGTGAATGAGCGATCTTTGCTCACCCGGAAGCAGTACACATGGGTACGCCAGGACACTGCTGCGGCATCGACACAGGGGAAGCGACCTGCTCAACGTCCGGGGCTGCTGAACAAGACAACACAGGGACGGCTGACCTGGTCTGCTGATGGGGATTCAAGGCCTCTCTTGCTTACTGGGGATGTCCCTAATCATGAGCCAGCACTCCTCATGGACAGGGAGGTGGAGAAACAGACCACTCCTCCCGTGATCAGGCACAGGGAGATTCTGACCGAGCCTGACGATGCGGCCAAGCAAAAGAAAGCTCGTTTTGAGCCGATGGACACTTCAATTGCCAATGTTGATCGTGATGGGGTGGAGGCGACCAGCCCGAACTGGTCCCACCCGGCGCCATGAGTATAATTGCTTGGAATTGTCGGGGGCTCGGCTCGCCCTTGACGATTCCTTCTTTGTTTGGAGCCGTGTGTCGATTCTCACCCTCTGCCATTTTCCTTTCTGAAACAAAGCATGATGATGACTATGTAAATAAAAGACTCCTGCGTCTCGGGTTTCCGTTTGTCCATTGCGTGTCCCCTGTTGGCTTAGCCGGCGGATTGGTAGTAGCCTGTTCTCCTAGTATTCAGTGTCGGGTAGTAGGTCAGGCTGAGTTCTTCTTGTTTGTGGAACTTCAGCATGTAGTTTGGGGTTTGGTTGCAGTCCTCTTTGTTCACCTTAACAATGATGTACATATCCGCCAGCATCAGTTTAATGAACTTTCTGTTTTGCTTTCGTCTTGTGCATTGCCTAAAGTCGTCATAGGCGACTTTAATTGTCTCCTTCATTCAGCCGAGAAGATGGGAGGACGGCCCCCCTCCTTCCAAGCGATGGAGTCCTTCCGTGCCTTTCTGGATATTGCTGGTTTGCTTGATGTAGGGTTCAAAGGCTCGCCATTCACATGGTCTAACCGGCAGGGCCTCTCCACTCACATTTTAGAGCGGCTAGATAGAGCATTAGTCACTGACAATCTCATGTCTCTGTGGCCTCTTATGCAGGTTTCCCATCTCTCAGATCTTGGCTCGGATCACAGGATCATTCTGCTGCAACTAATACCTGGAGCAGGGAAAGGGAAGCCTAGGTTCCATTTTGATCGCAGATGGTGTTCTAACTCGGATGCTCGTGATATTATCTTTGGTGAATGGCAGGTACCAGTCCAAGGAACCCCTCAATTCCAACTGTTCTCGCGATTTAAGGCAGTGAGGCACCGTCTTGTCGAATGGGCAAGGCTGGGCACTACAAATTCTGCCCGTCTAATCAGGGAGCTTAGGTCTGCCATTGAAGCTGAACGGGACGCACCAGCAGTGCAATGGGATGTGATCCAAGGCCTCGAAACTCAACTTGCAGCAGCATATCTTCAAGAGGAAGCATATTGGAAGCAAAAATCCAGAAACACTTGGCTACAACTCGGTGATGCAAACACAAACCATTTTCACCTATCCACTACTCAACGACGACGGCACAATCACATTGAAGTGCTGCAAGATGAAGATGGGACTCGGCATTTTGAGGAGGCTGGAAAAGGCAATATCTCAGTGGGGTTCTTTCAACACTTATTTACGTCTAATGGACTCCAGCCAAATTTCCTGGTTAATGCGTTGGGGATCCAGCCGAAGATTGACCACGCCCATAACTCCTTCTTGACTGCCCCTGTATCAAGAGATGAGATTAGAGTGGCCGCGTTCAGCATAGGACCCGGGCAAGCCCCGGGTTCGGATGGGTTGACCGGTGCATTTTTTCAGGCGTACTGGGACATTATTGGAGATTCAGTCTGCAGGGCAGCTCTTTCCTTCTTCCGAACAGGTCGTCTACTGCAGAGTTTCAACCACACGATTATTACATTAATCCCCAAGGTCATTAATGCTGAGTTGATGAAGCAAATGCGCCCGATCAGCCTGTGCCAGGTCTTCTACAAGATCATCTCCAAGATCCTCACCTCCAGACTGAGTGTTATCCTGCCTGGTGTGATCTCCGACTCTCAGAATGGGTTTATCAAGGGCCGAGATATTTCTGATAACATCCTTATTGCGCAGGAAGTTATGCAATTCTTAAAGACGAAGAGTTCTGGAAGGGATAGGTGGATGGCGCTCAAATTGGACATGGAGAAAGCATACGACCGGGTCGAGTGGGAGTTTCTCTTCGCAGTAATGGAGGCACTGGGTTTTGGTTCACAGTGGATGAAATGGATAAAAGCATGCGTCACTACAGTCTCGTTCACTGTTCTGCTCAACGGCAATGAACATGGATACTTCAGACCGCAACGGGGCATTCGGCAAGGTGACCCCCTTTCACCTCTGCTTTTCGCCATTTATACTGAGGCATTCTCCACTCTGCTTCGTAATGCGATAGAGCTGCAGCAACTACATGGATTGAAGGTCCACAGGCTAGCACCAACTATCTCCCATCTGTTCTTCGCAGACGATACCTATCTGTTTTTGCGAGCAACAACGTCTGAGTGTGATAATCTGATCCAGTTGTTGCGGCCTTTTGAGGAGGCTAGTGGGCAGCGCATAAACCTCCAAAAATCCTCAGTCTGCTTTAGCTCTAATGTCAATGATCAGGAGAAGAACCTATTGGCGAATATACTTGGCATCTCCTCCGTTGGGCCCCTCGACAAATATTTGGGACTTCCGGCTCAAATACAGCGTTCCAAAGTACAGACATTCCAATATGTTGAGGATAACCTTGCTGCCCGTATTCAAAGTTGGCGATCCAAGTCCCTATCCCTAGCTGGTAAAGAAGTGCTTCTCAAGGCTGTTGGTTCTGCAATGCCGGTGTACACTATGTTCTCATTCCGCCTCCCTTCAACAACCTGCCGCAGACTTAACAGCCAGCTTGCTAGGTTTTGGTGGGCTGGGCAAGACAAGGAGAGGGGAATGCATTGGATCTCCTGGCCAGCCATCTGTGTTAGCAAATTCCACGGGGGGCTTGGTTTTAGGGACTTCGATCTTTTCAACGTAGCTATGCTTGGAAAACAGGCGTGGAAGTTATTGATGTGCCCGGATTCTCTACTCGCAAGAATCTACAAAGCTCGGTATCATCCGCACTGTGACTTCCTCTCTGCTCCAACTGGTTCCCGGCCATCTTGGGCCTGGCAAGGAGTGCTTGAAGGGCGGAACCTACTAAAGCAAGGATTGAGATGGCAAGTAGGCTGTGGGTCATCAATTCGCATCCTCGAAGACCGCTGGCTGCCCACGACTCCTCCATCCTCTCCATCCCTGCTGCCCGGTACCTCTCTTCCCAATCCTTATGTGGCTGGACTTATCCATCCAATTACTAGAACTTGGAATGGAGAACTCATCCGTGCATTATTCACACCGGAGAGTGTATCGTGGATCCTAGCTATTCCACTGCCATCAGCACCCCAACCTGATAAATTAATCTGGCATTATGCGACCTCGGGGCAATACACTGTCAAAACGGGCTACCAACTACAAGCATCCAGCCGGCAGCTACAGTTCGATCAGTTCCCTCCTCATCTCAACACCAAATTCTGGAAGACACTATGGAGCCTACCAATTCCCCCCAAACTCCGGTTCTTCCTTTGGAGGACTGTGAGAGGATTCCTCCCAATGCAAGCTATTCTTAAAGGGAAACACTTAAGTGAATCGGATGAATGTTTGGTTTGCTCAGAGAGTGTAGAAACCATTTCACACTGCTTTTTTGAATGCAGGATCGCGCGGGAAATATGGCAACTTGCTGGGAAAGAACCGATGCGATTAGGCCTGGCTGGTTTACCTCATGACCTTGCGTGGCATGAGCTGTTTTTTTCCATGCAGCTTACGAAGACGGAAATTGCAGAAGTTGTCTTCCTCACCTGGCGTATATGGAAGGGGCGATGCTGGTCGGTATATGATAAACTTCAATACTTACCAACACCTCTGTTTAGGCAGTTCACTCGGCAGCTGGAGGAATGGCGAGAGGCAACTGAGGCGGCAAGGGAGCAGCCTGCTAGAGGGCGGCAGAATTCTGAGATAGCAGCAGGACCAGCGTGCCCTCCGGGCGGCCTTCTCGTCCGCTTCGATGGTGCAACGAGGCGGGGAGTAGGAGGCAGCATCGGGTTCGTCGGATTTGATAGCCACCACTCATTGGTCTGCGCGTACGGTAAGTTTTACGAGGGCATCTCGGACCCTTTTTTGTTGGAATTGATAGCTTTGCGCGATGCCATGGTATGGAGCCTTAATCGTGGTTTCTCTTCTGTTTGTTTCTGTGGTGACTCGCAATTGGTCATCCGCCGTGCATTGGAGAATGATGTCAACCATGATCGCGGAGGAGCGGTGCTGGAGGAAGTGCGGAAGCTGAAGACTTCTTTTGCTTTTATCTCTTTTGTTTTTGCTCCTCGTAGAACTAACAGGGCTGCCCATCGCGTGGCACAAACGGCCCTTGCATCGGTAGCGACCCATATGGTTGACTACCGCGTTTTTATTTCCACTGCACTGTAATATCCTATCTATTACGATCTATCTATGGCAAAAAAAAAAAACTTTTTAACACGTGATAAATGGATTTATGGATTTAAAATCTGAGCTGTCAAGTACGACTGGTTTCAACCACGTCCTCATAAAATAAACGAACGCCTCAAATTAATATTTGGCTTTGGCTCAAAATCTCGTCTTCTACCTACCTTCCCTCTGTCCTCTTCCCCATTCTCCATCCTTCTCCTCACAAGATGTCCATCTGCACACACTCCGACTAAAAAAAGTTTCTCTTCCAAGAACTGCATTCCCCCACCGTCAGCCATGGTGGCGACTGAGCTGCTGAGACTTTCCGTGACGCCTTTCCCTAAATTCTGCCACGGCCAAAGTCAGAGGCTCCTTTTTTACCACGTTGACCACAATGCTCAGCTGACCAAGCGCCGCCGCTTCCTCCTCCTCCGGCGGCAGCGCGTCCTTCCCAATCTCTCCATTTCCAGCTCCCTCCAGACCAAGCCTGAACTTCAGGACTCCCGAATCGAGCCTCGCGAGCGTCCCAAGGACTCCCCGATTCTCCTCGATGTGAGCGGGATGATGTGCGGCGCCTGTGTCTCGCGCGTCAAATCGGTGCTCTCGTCCGACGATCGAGTCGAATCCGCTGTGGTCAACATGCTGACCGAGACGGCTGCAGTTAAGTTGAGGCCGGAGGCTGTGGAGAGCGATACGCCGACGAATCTAGCTGACAGTTTGGCTCGGAGGCTGACCGATTGCGGATTCGAGTCGAAGAGGAGGGTCTCGGGGATGGGAGTCGCGGGAAATGTGAAGAAGTGGAGAGAGATGGTGGAGAGGAAAGAGCAGATGCTGGTTAACAGTCGAAACCGTGTGCTTTTTGCTTGGACTTTGGTGGCGTTGTGTTGTGGATCGCACGGTTCGCATATCTTGCATTCCTTTGGCATCCATCTCGCTCACGGTAATGGCAGAAGCTAAGTTCATCCCTGCGAAGCTGTAGCAAGGGAGAATTATTTTAGATTTCAGTAGGGAATTGCATTTTGCTTTGGCTTGCGCCTTTGAGGTGGGCGCTTCATTTGTGAATGGGGCTTGATATTGTATCTACTGAACTCTTGCTACTCTGCCATTTGGTGTAGGCTCATTCTTTGACGTGCTTCACAATTCATATGTGAAGGGTGGTTTCGCTGCGGGGGCTCTCTTAGGACCAGGGAGAGGTTTGTTCTCGAGCCTTTACAGTGTTGGCATTAGTTAGTCTCTACTTGATTATTCTCGCTAAAGTCGAGCGGAGTGTACTGTTGCAGACCTACTTTTTGATGGGTTAGTGGCCTTCAAGAAAGGATCACCAAACATGAATTCTCTCGTGGGATTTGGATCAATCGCTGCATTCCTAATCAGTGCGGTAAGAAACTCGCCAGTTGTTGGATAACTTTCTGCTCCATATGCACTGTAGTTTCATGTTATGGAATGTTCTGCTAAGGGGATATCTTTTCTTGCAGGTCTCCCTTCTTAACCCTGGTCTTCAATGGGATGCATCCTTCTTTGATGAACCGGTGACTTAATTGAATCTTTTTCTTTTTCTTTTTTGCCAATTCAAGAATGAATGTGGGTTCCTGGGTTACATGGCTACTAATGTCAGCATAATGATATATCAGTACAAACAGCTCCATTTTTTTCTGAGCTTGATAGAAATCTTCTTTCAATTGATGAAGCCTTCCTCTACACAGATTCAAAATACTTCATGCACAGTCAATGATTTTTGCTGTTATCGCAGTTTCTCATGGATGGTATTTCTATTAGTATGCAGGTCATGCTTCTTGGTTTTGTCCTTCTTGGGCGTTCTCTTGAGGAAAGAGCCAGGATCAGGGCATCTAGTGATATGAACGAACTTCTTGTAAGTAAAAAATTCATGTAATGTAATGACTTCCTATCAAATTCTATCAATGCATAGATAGAACTTGATAAATCATCCTCATTCGTCACTTTATATCTTTTAATTCTTCAGTGTTAATAGGATCATCAGTCCACAATTTTAATCCATCTCCATGACACATGTTTTCAGTTGTTCCGAAATTGTTTGTTATTTCTTAGATATAATCTATAATTACCTGTTAAACAAAAAATTCCGGTGCTTTATTAACTTGACCCGTCTTTTTTTGCAGTCACTCGTATCCACTCAGTCACGGCTTGTAGTTACATCATCAGATAACAGCACACGTGCTGATACTGTTCTTGGCTCTGATGCAATATGTGCCGAGGTTCCGACGGATGATGTTCGTGTTGGAGATGCATTGCTAGTCCTTCCTGGCGAAACGATTCCAGTAGATGTATGCATTTCAATTATAAGCAACTTTCTCTTAACTATGGTCACTTGTCAATAGTTTCTGCTGGATATGCTAAAATTTATTCTAGTATAGAGAAATTTGTTGGATAACAATTGCATGGAAAATATATCGACTAGGAGTAATGCTCAATTGTTATATTGGACTTACATATTGGTTTAATTGTTGCAAAACAAAATATAGATGCTATAGTTTATAAAGCTTGTTATATTGGACTTACATATTGGTTAGTTGTTGCAAAACACAATATAGATGCTATAGCCTACGACCAGTAAAGTTCCATTTCTTGTCCTTGAATTGAAAACTAAAATTAATATTTATTTGGCAGGGCAAAGTAGTTGCAGGGAGAAGTGTGGTAGATGAATCCATGCTTACAGGTGAATCACTGCCTGTGTATAAGGAAGAAGGCCTCAAAGTCTCTGCCGGAACAATAAATTGGGTAGGATTGCTCGTACTTTGTTGCGTTGAATTGTGAAAATGTTGCAATTTTGTTGTGATGGATCTTTCAGTCATATTAGCTCTCCTGAAATGATAATAAAGATTCGACGTGGCATCATAATTCTTCTTTTTATGCAGGTAGGTTTGGTTAAAATTGATTTTACATTGCAGTAAAATTGCCAAATTATAATGGGTAATATGCAAACCATTTCAGGATGGCCCTTTGAGGATTGAGGCCTCTTCTACTGGCTCAAACTCCACTATATCAAGGATTGTAAGCATGGTAAGAGCATGCATTGAGCGGCCACTGTTAGTAACTGAAGCACAATTTGAAGTAGTTTCAAACCAGTCAGTTTATAGGACGTCACTTGGACGTATGAATTAAGTCATAGATCATATAATCTTTTCACCAGGTTGAGGATGCTCAAGGCCGTGAAGCACCTGTACAAAGGCTTGCAGATGCAATTGCGGGGCCATTTGTGTACAGCATAATGACAATATCAGCAGCAACTTTTGCTTTTTGGTAGGCTTTGTTTCTTTCCATGCCTTGTTCTTAAGGTTGCAAAACATAATACATGCATATTGTTTTTTTTTAGCCAGTTAATACTAACTTCTATCCTAAATTCTTGTTTATGATTTCTCGTCAACATTCAGGTACTATATTGGAGCACGTATTTTTCCTGACGTGTTGCTCAATGATATTGCCGGACCAGATGGCGATCCATTACTTTTGAGCCTTAAACTTGCTGTGGACGTATTGGTGAGTGATGATGTTTTACTACTTGGTACTAGTTTATCCTTCCTACTTCCTATCGTGCTCATTTGTTTTGTAGCATACCTTTTCAGCTTTATGCTTAACTTCAATCATAATGACATGAATAGAATGTTTTGTTGGAGATGATCAAGTGCATTGATTCTGAAAGTAAATATTGACTTCTTGTTTAAGTGATACGATGGGTAGTTGGAAATCCTGAATTGGTGCATCATAACTTTAATCATTATTCAATACAAAAATAATCGGCATATCAATGTATTGAAGCTAAGAATTAATTCAAAAATGGTATTTTCAGGTTGGTAGCATAGAGTGGATAAGAGAGTTCAATAAGAGTTCCATCACTCCTGCTTACAACAATGCTTTTCTTGTCTCAGGTAGTTTCCTGCCCATGTGCACTTGGACTAGCTACACCAACTGCAATCCTGGTTGGAACTTCCCTTGGTACAGTTTCTCACTTATTGTCATCTCACAAAGGAATGCTTTTTACCAGGCAGATCAGAAATGATATGGCATGCTACAAAATATGTAGCATCTAATTAGTTGTTGGTAGCAAAGAAGAGTAAAAAGTAAAATCTAGAGAATGTTATCTCTGTAGCAATTGATACAGCCAAAGCTAATTTCTGCTTTTGGAAACTTAAAGGAGCAAAGCAAGGACTAATTATAAGGGGAGGGGATGTATTGGAACGCTTGGCAAGCATAAATTACATTGCTTTAGACAAGGTAGCTCCTCTAAATCGATAACCCATCTTTCTTACATGTGTTTTCCTTGATGCATACAACTTGCATTCTTGATGGTGGTGGAATTTGGTATGTTGGGTTAACCGTTGAATCAATTTTTGGACTAACTCTCTACTCTCTATTCCCCAACATTCAGACAGGCACTCTCACCGAAGGAAAACCAACTGTCTCGGCAGTGGCTTCATTTAGCCATGAAGAATGGGAAATTCTTCAAATGGCTGCTGCCGTTGAAAAGACGGCACACCATCCAATTGCAAAAGCTATAATAGCTAAGGCAGAATCACTGGAGTTGAGTATCCCAGAAACAAGAGGGCAAATTACAGAACCAGGTTTTGGAACTTTGGCAGAAGTGGAGGGACGTTTGGTTGCAGTTGGCTCTTTGGATTGGGTCCATGAACGCTTTCATCGGAGGACTGCATTAATTGATATACAAAACCTTGAGGCTGCAGTGGTAAATCGATCGTCAAAAGAGATGCTCGAGTCTAACTATTCTAAAACACTGGTGTTTGTTGGCCGGGAAGGGGAAGGCATCATCGGTGCTATTGCAATATCAGACTGTCTGCGTCATGATGCTGGATCTACTGTTAGTAGGTAATATGCTATCTGTCAAGTATGATTGGGGCCTACCCTAGGCTACTTAATTGAGTGAAACTGACTTAGATTAGGTTATGTGAACGACAACCTCTCATAATTTTTTAGTTTATATCTTTCTTGTTAATTCTTTCTGTCCTTTGTTTTTTGTTATCAGAAGCCTTGCCATTATTGTACTTGGAATTTTCATGTCATGTAGTGTCTTTTTTCCTGCTTTTAATGCTGATTTTCTTACCTCTTGGTTGGCTAGCCTCCAACAGAAGGGTATCACAGCAGTCCTCTTATCCGGAGACAGGGAAGAAGCAGTAGCAACAGTAGCCAGAAATGTTGGCATAGGAAGCGAACACATAAATGCAGCCCTGACTCCGCAGCAGAAATCTGAGGTTATCTCAACCCTTCAAGCAGCAGGACACTGTGTTGCAATGGTAACTACAATCATTTCCTCTCAAATTTCTTGTTCAACACTAGAGGTGATAAGCAACGAGTTATGGTAGCCTTTTGAATAAGATAGTTGTAACATGTAATTCAGTGAAATTTAAACAAAAATCACAGCAGTGAACTGCTTCCGCCACGGAAAACGCTGTCCTGGTACTGGGATTATAGATATTGTTAAAACTTTGCAACTAACTTGCTAGATTGTCAATGTGATGGATGCCTTTGACACAAATAATTACTCCTGACACAATGGGTGATTAAAGGTAGGTGATGGGATAAATGATGCACCCTCCTTGGCTCTTGCTGATGTGGGAATCGCCCTCCAAAACGAAGCGCAGGAGAATGCAGCATCTGATGCTGCATCCATTATCCTCCTCGGCAACAAGCTCTCACAGGTATGTATTCAGTCTTTTATCCTGTACTTGGGTCGTTTTTATTTTGCGGAAGGTTGCAGTCCATGGAGAGTAGAGTGCACAGGATGATAGGAACGGACTTTGGACATTGCATCATTTTGGATCCATTTGATCTGTAAGGTGGAAAGTGGCCCTTCACTTTTCTTTTCTATGGGGTTGATGGAATTTAACTACCTGGCAAAAATCATTATTACCATTGTTATCAACTAATAAATTTAATAGAAGAGCTGCAATCATGGAACCGAACCATGGACCATGCAATTTTAGAATCTTACCCCTCCCCCCTTGGAATTTAGACTCCCATTTCCGCATGGAAAGTTGATTTCATCCCTCACACATTCCTGCCCCCTTGAAAGACCAAACAAGCAAAGGATTTATTTTCACTTTTGACCACAAAATGGGATTTAATTTGACTCTTTCCCTTGTACCTAAGATGTGTTGATTGTGTCAGGTCGAAGATGCCGTGGAGCTGGCTCAAGCAACCATGGCTAAAGTGTATCAGAATTTATCTTGGGCAGTCGCATATAACGTGGTCGCTGTCCCTATCGCAGCTGGGGTATTGCTTCCCCAATATGACTTTGCCATGACCCCATCACTATCAGGTGATTTTGCCATCACAAGCTGAAACTGAAGGCTGTCCCAGATATAGTTAGTAGTAGTGGTTCTGATTCTTTTCCAGTTTTGTTTGACCAGTGCGTGTCATTTTCCATAACGCAGGTGGCCTTATGGCATTGAGCTCCATATTTGTTGTCACCAACTCATTACTTCTGCAGCTCCATCGATCACCGAATGCCCGATGAAGCTCTCTGTTCCTCATATCGCAGTCTGAATATCCATTCTATACACGAGCCTTCTGCAGCTCCGCCATCACTGAGATTTGCCTTATTTATTTTGTGCGTAGCAGTGGGATTTGGATGAAGATATATGATTACATTAACTATTAATACAGGGTAGCTGTTGTGTGTTCAGGGAAAATTATAGCGTTAATTGAAATGAAGATGAGAATAAGCTCCACTTATTAGGCTTCTAGCAGCAGTAAAAAAGAGCGACCTGAATACAGACCGAGCACGAACCAGCACCGAAGGAGTGTGCCGTGTGCATTCTCAGCTGTCTTGCTACAAGCATGTTGCCCTGATTAACGATATTTTGTATGTATAGTGTTTCCAGGAGCGGGTGTAGCAGCTGTTGTCCCTTTTGTGTCATACTTTTTTTTTTTTTTTTGTCAAAAGATAAGATATATTGATCGAAACAAAGATAGAGTTACATCCTGGATAACAGCCAGGTCCTGAAATCAAAAGAACGATTTACAGACGGGCACAAAGAGAGGGCCTTTCTAGCTACCGAATGAGCTACCCTATTGTTCTCCCGACCTACAAACCGTACACTAAACCCTGGATGAGCCCGAATATACTGGCAAATCTCCTCTAGTATAGCCCCCAGATGACTGTCGCAAGTATCAGCCTGATTAATCTTGTCAACAATGACCTTCGCATCCCCCTCAAACCGAACACCAGACAAGCCATACTCCAGACACCAGAGGATAGCCTCACGAAGCACAAGCAACTCCACTACCAGAGGTTCATCAATAAGCGCAAACTGCACACCCTTAGCCCGAAGGAGCGACCCCCCTTGATCAAACAGCACCATCCCCCCAGCCGAATGGGATCCCCGCCTAGTGGCCCCATCCCACTTGCACACCAACCGAGAATCCTCCACTTGGGACTCTTGTTGAACGGCCGAGCAGGCCACCCTTGGCGGTCTATTGACAGGCAACCCCACCCATTCCTCATACTGCTGGTGAAATTGGCGCATTAAAGCCGGAATCCCAAACTGCTTGCCTTCAAAGACAACCCAGTTTCGCGACCGCCAGATCCGCCAAAGGATGGCAACCACAGCCATAAACATCGTCGGGTGATGGACAAGGGCGAGCAGCCGCTTGAGAAACAATGGAAACGTGTGCCGAGGCAAACCTTCCCCCAAATAGTCCAACCCTGCGTAGTCCCAGAGAGCCCTCGCTACCGGACATTCCAAAAACATATGTTCCATCGTTTCGGGCCCATCCCAGCAAACCGGACAGCGGGGCAACACCGGAACCTTCTTTTCGATAAGAGCCTCAGTGGTTGGCAAAGCCCGATGAAGAATTTGCCAGACAAAGACCTTCAGCTTAGGAGGAATCTTTGCTTCCCACAGCCGGATCCAGCTTTGCCTATCCATCCAACTGACCGAGGCCCTCCACTCACCTTTCCTCCGGTCAAGCTCAACCGCCAAGTGATAGGCCGTCTTTACCGAGAACGCACCGTCAGGGGTACTATGCCAAATCAGCTTATCCTCAACATTCCCCCGCGGCAGGGGAATAGCCATAATGGCCCGACAGGTAGGCGGATCAAACCATTGACTAAGTTTTTCTTCGGCCCACCTCCCTTCTCCTTGCCTAATCACCTCTGCTACCAAGGGATCGTGCCCATCAGCAAGGACCCTAGGATTGTAGCAAGGGGGATCCAGCTGAAGCCCAGGGATCCAGCTCGAATGGAGAAGGGAGGCTGATCGGCCATTGCCGATTTGCCATCTTAACCCCATCTCCAACAACTGGCGCCCAAACAGGATGCTCTGCCAACCCCAAGACGGGCGGGAACGAGCTGTTGCCTTCATGAAGGTTCCCTGGGGAAAGTACTTGCCTTTGTATACCTGCGCCAGGAGGGACTGAGGTTCATTGAGAATCCGCCAGCCTATCTTCGCCAATAAGGCCTGATTAAAATGTTCAAAACGACGAAACCCCATTCCTCCATCATGCTTACTTCGGCAAAGATTACGCCAGGACACCCAGCGAATCCTAGGATGGCCCTCCTCAGCTCCCCACCAGAACCGAGCCACGTGTTTATCCAGCAAACGACACAGAGAGAGGGGCAACCGGAAGCATGACATGACATGCAGGGGCAAGGCCAAAGCTATCGACTTAATTAATGTCTCCTTTGCCGCCCAAGACAATGTCTTCTGCTTCCACCCCTGCAGACGCGCCAGAAGTTTTTCTTCTAAATATCGGAAAGTGGCCATCTTTGAGCGGGCAATCAAAGTGGGTAAACCCAGATACTTATCATGGACCCCTACTGCACCAACCCCTAGGATTGCTGCCAAAAACTCTTGATCAGGTACGGCAACATTCTTACTAAAACAGACTGCCGACTTTTCCAGATTAACCCGCTGCCCACTCAGCTCTTCATACTCATTCAGTACCACAATCAAATTTTCGCACTCCTGGAGAGATCCTCGCAGGAATAAATAGGAATCATCCGCGAAAAACAAATGCGAGATCCTAGGAGCACGCGGCGCCACCTTCACCCCCTCCAACTTCTTCTCATTAATCGCCTTCCGAAGAAGTGCCGCAAACCCCTCCGTGCAAAGCACAAACAACAGGGGAGAGAGCGGGTCCCCCTGCCTGAGTCCCCGAGAGGAGCTGAAAAAGCCAGAGGGAGTACCGTTCATTAGCACCGAAAACGAAGCGGACGTGAGACATTCCTGTATCCATCCCCGCCAGACCGAGTTAAAACCCATTTTATCCAACACTGCCAGAAGAAAGGGCCATTCGACTCTATCATAGGCCTTTTCCATGTCAACCTTAAGAGCCATGTACCCCTTCTTCCCCTGCTTCTTTATCTTTAGATAATGCATTAACTCATGTCCGAGAAGGATGTTGTCAATGATTTGCCGGTCTCTTATAAACGCATTCTGGCCCTCAGAAACGATCTGAGGAAGCAGACCAGCAAGCCGTTCAGCCATGATCTTGGTTATTATTTTGTAAACGAATTGACATAAGCTGATCGGTCGCAGCTGGCGAACCGTTTCCACAGATTCCACTTTAGGAATCAACGTAAGCCAAGTGTGGTTAAAACTCCGCAGCATTCGACTTGTTGAAAAGAATGAACATATTGCATCAACCACTGAAGGGCCCACAATATCCCAGAATGCTTTGAAGAATTTGCCAGTAAACCCGTCCGAGCCCGGAGCCTGCTTTGACCCCATTGCAAAAACCGTTCGGCGAACCTCATCAGGTAAAACCTCCGCCGTCAGCCTCTCATTCATTTGAGGTGTAACGGTACGAGAAATAGGGAGACTCGCCACCCTCTCAGCCATATTTGGCACCTGGGACTCCGAAGTGAACAGGGTTTGGTAAAAATTAGTAGCTATCTCAGCCTTCCCACTTTCCTCAGTAACCCACTCGCCCTCATCATTCCGGAGACCAGAGACGAAATTCCTCTTCCGCCGAGTGCGGGCAACGGTATGGAAATAAGCAGAATTCTGGTCCCCTCTTTTTAACCATCGGACTCTGGACTTTTGCTGCCAGTATAACTCCTCTGCATCCCATTGACGAGTCAGCTCTGTCTCCAGTGACTTGATCTCATCCCAATTGACCGGATGAATAGACTTGACCCGGTCAATCTCAGCCTGGAGAGTCTTTATATTCCGCAGAGAATTCGTAGTGCCTGCTCTACTCCAATCATATAGCAAGTGGCGGAGTTTCTTGAGGCGCTCCCAAAGTCGAAACATGGGGGTACCTTGTATATCCTCTTGCCAGACATAATGGACCATAGCCCTAACCTCCGGGTTATCCGCCCAGCGAGCATCAAATCGAAAGAGAGGTCGACTATTCCGGGTATACGGCTTGTCGGCAAGGAGGAGGGCACGATGATCCGACCCCTGATCCGTGAAATGTTTGACCAAAGTCTCAGGATAAATATCTATCCAGGATTGGGAACAGAGAGCCCTGTCCAGACGTTCACGAATGCACGCTGCCCCCATACGTTTATTGGTCCAAGTAAATTGATCCCCCTGGTAACCAGGGTCATGGAGCCCCAAATCATGAACAAAATCCCGAAGGCTAATGGCCTGAGCCGCATTCCAAGCACGACCCCCATCCTTTTCTCCCTCGTGGAGGGTAGAGTTAAAATCCCCAAGGACAACAAATGGGTGGTGAACAGACGCGCAAACCTCACGCAAATGAGCCAGTTGGAGTGCTCGAACAGCAACATTACAACTAATATAAACAAAAAACACCAAATAAGAAAGATTTCCTTCATTAATTTGCGAACAAATGTAGAAATTGGAATGACAAAACACCGAAGTGTCAACCCCGGGGGCCCAAGCTACCACTAACCCACCCGATGCATCGACTGCATCAACAAAAAAACAATGAGAATTATCAAACCCTAACCCCCGCATACGACGGGAAACTACACGCCGGCACGATCGTGTTTCCGAAAAGAACACTACATCCGGTTTATTAGAATGAACAAGCCCTAAAGCAGTTTGGAAGGTGAGGGATGGCCCAATTCCTCTCACATTCCAGGCCAGAAGCCTCATTTATCAGCTTGGGGCCATTCGAGGCTGGCTTCCTCCACCTTCTCACGAACATCTGCCACTTCTACAAACTGCTTCTTAGGAGTAGGGGGGTCACCCACATCTCCTTCCACCTCCTCAAGCCCTCGTTTACGATTTTCCATGAGTGGGTCCTCCAGATTGGACCCATACTCGTTCAGCCCCAAACCCACCCCTTGACGGGGAATAATCTCCACCTGTCCAATGGTAAGTCCTGCTTCAAAAGCCTCCACCACTTGGTGGACCCGTCCTTTCAAGACCTTGGAAGTGTGCATGGACGCTCCAGTAGGTGAACGACGCTTGATTTCAAAAGCATACTCCTCCTCCGGCGATTGATCCACCTCAGAATCAGACCCATGTGGTTGAAGCATCGAGTCTGGTTCCTCAAGAGGATCTCCAGACTTCTTCCCCACCGGATTCTTCAAATCATCAGGTGTAGTCATGTCAGCAGCCTGGCCAGTCCTCTCCATATGGACTCTAACACCTCCTTTCCTCAATCGTGGGCGAACCCGAGGGACCGCATCCCCTGACTGGGCCATGGTCATAGGAGCATCCTTCCCATTCTCTTCCTCCTCAGATTCATCCTGTAAAATCAGCCGCCGCCTTCTGGTTTCCTCGAGCACCATCTCCATAGGATCTGCCTCCACCCTTGGGCGGGGGGCCTGCTTCATGCGCCTAATCGGCTGTTTACGCCCCTGCGATTCCTTCTTAGGTAGAGTAGCATGCTTTTTAGGCGACTGCTTCCTCTGGGGTTGCCGAACCCCTCCACCAATCTTCACACAAGGGGACTTCTTCAGGTTGAACCTTTTTGGGCTTGTACGATCTCCGGCCAGCTGATTGGCTGATTCTCGCAGCCTAGGCTGAGTCCTTCTGGTGACGGGCTCTTCTGGTTCATTAGCTCGAGCTTGGGCCACCCCTAGCGCCTGAGTAGACGCAGAACGCACTCGTGGACCCTCTTCCACACGGCCCCGAGTATTTCTAGCATTGCCAGCATTCTGCACTTGGATACTCCTGTTCACCCACACAGACTTGCTTGTATCTCGAAATTTAGGAAAGCTATCCTCCTCCATGTAAAGCTTCCGCCCGAGCTTCCTTGTGCTCATATGCGGGCCAAAGCGCTCCTTCCTTGACGGGGGGTCAAACACACAGTCCCGCTTGGAGTGACCCACACGACCACAATGGTAACAAACCGTCGGTAGGAACTCGTACTTGAGATTGACCCAGAATTGTCCCAGCTCCGCGCTAACTGCCATGATTTGGGAGCGCAGAGGCTTTGTAAAATCAATAAGGGCGAGCACTTTTACAAAGCACTCATCAGTTTCCTTCGATGCAAAGACATCCGCCTCCAGAACCTGGCCGATAGTTCCTGCTGCCATTTTCTGGCCAAACTGCTTAGTGCAGCAGTCATCTTTCACGTTCCAGAGTTGAACACGAAAAGGAGCCAAGGCCAACTCATCAAAGGTGCGTCTGGAAATGGATGGTGTCCAAGACCGGAGATGGAAGATCCTGTCTTTGACTATCCAGGGTGTTCTTTTCAGGATCCACACCCTTGTTTCATCGCTAGGAAGCACCACCTCAAACAAGCCAAAATGCGTGACTGAAACCCTAAGGTTTCCTTTCACCCGCCATGCCTCAACTAGTCCCTCTTTCAGCTCAGCGATAGTGAATTTATTTTCCGAAAAGAGCCTGCCCAGGAGGGTCCTAGAGGTGCGAAACCTCACAGATTGGACCTCCTCCAGCGAGAACTCGACCACTTGATCCTCAGCAATGTGCGACATCTTACTCACCTGACAAGCATTGATAGATAAGTCATTAGCAACAGTCGGTAAGTTTGTATCAATCGTTGGAATTGGTGAACTCAAGCTAAATGAATTAAACTTGGTGTTATTAATAACAAGAAACTGAAATTCCCCAAAGGTCATAACAGCCTCGGCCTGCTTCCCAAAAGGCATCCGCTGGGCTTGACTTGGCCCGAAGGCAGCAGCAGTGCAAGCCCTAGATACGGGCTGGGAGGCTCTCAACAGGCCCGCCGAAGCATCAGGCCATGGTGGCAAGGAGGGCCCAAGGGCAAACAAGTGGGCTGGGCTGAATTGGGGATGGAGGAGCCCCCTCTCTGCCCCTATCTGAACACCGTCATTCTGAGAAAGAAAGGGACGAATCCCTGTACCTGAAACGATCGCGACGGCCGGCCACTGCTGCAGGGAAAGTCTCGACGGAATCGTCTCTGGCAACCGCTCTGTTTTTCGCTCGCGGCACACCTCGTCGGTCGAGCCCTGAAGCCTGGGGGGAGTCAAGGGATTTTTCGATTGCAAAATCTCTCTATTTCGCTCACTGCACACAGGCAGGCTTATGCTCGGCAAGGCTGCTTTATAGGGCCAAGCCTTGTAGTCTCCCAGTAGAGAACGTCTATCCCCACAAAGAATCACAATAGGATTCGGAGATTGCTGACGCGGGATGATTTTTTGAAATTGATATTTTGAGCGGATATTCTTCCCGAGAATCCCGCTCAACAGAACAGGGGTTTCCAAAGCAGAACCGATTCGAAAATCCCTGCTTTTCCGCGGCCATCCTAGTCGACGCTGGAAGTCGGCGATGACCATCCCGCCGTCCCTCGGTGTCACGGCCGCCGCCTTGGCTTGGACGGGACTTTCTGGGTTGGCCCTCCTCCTCCTCTCCAGCGACACGCAGGGGTTCACATCCTTCAGCGGGACGGCGCAAACTTCTGCGATGTCCCCTTTTGGTTTCACGGGGGAATTCATCCCCAACCTTCCTCCCCCGAAGGGGCTTGATTGAGCTAGCTTTATCAGAGAGGCAGGGCGCTCATACCCATCCTCTGTTTCTTGCATCCTTCTCCCCGCGAACAGGGTAAAGCCACATTCTTCTTCATCTATTTCTGACGATGCTGGGAGCCAAAAACGCCAAAGCATCTTTGACTGCATCCTTTGCCTCTTCGGTGGGCGAACCTCCAGGAGTTCATGTTCTTCGAAAATCGACCTCCCCGATCGTTTTATCGAGTATCTCCGCCGGATCCGGCGCCCTTCCACCTGTCGTGGGTGCTGTTTCGAACTAGGTGTCGCGATGGCAATCCCCAGTTCGCTGATGATTGGTGCACCGAATCTCTTCTGGGTCGATGCCGGCTTCCCATCCTTGTTCATTTGATTCCTCCAGCTTGACTCAAAGACTGCGACGGCAGCCTGAGAAAGCCATCGCCCGACCAGCGAGCACAGGACGAAGAGAGAGGAGAGAGCTCCTCTCATTCTTCTTAGTAGAAATTGTTTCTTCTTTTGTGTCATACTTTTTTGTTATAGTAAATATCGAAAATAAGGAACCAGCACCTAAATTATTGTATTATTGCTTAATAGAGCCATGTCTACTAATGGAGCCATTTGGCCATGTCTATTACTTTTTGTTATAGTAATATCGAAAATAAGGAACCAGCACCTAAATTACTGTATTATTTGTATTATTGCTTAATAGAGCCATGTCTATTAAGACTTTCTTTCCATAGATAAAATCGTCAATCCAACATTGAATATGTCACATACATCAGCTTCAAACTAAAATCTAGACCTAGGATTCATCAATCTAAGAGAAAGAGGTTTAGTTCATAGAGAGAAGAAAGATTACAAAAATAGCTCAAGATCTTCATCTTCTAGGCTTGAATCCTTAACTCCAAGATCAACCCAAGCTTCCAATTAAACTCCAAGATCACTCAAGGTCATTCTCTCTCTCTCTCTCTCTCTAAAAACTCCTCTTTGGTGTTTTGGCTCAAAACACTATAGAGAGAACTAAGTTATTCTCTAAAACCAGCTCTCCTTTCTCTCTCCCAAGTGTTGTCTTTTTATATAGCCTGACAGCCAATGTCACGGTCAGATATCACGGGGGTGGCATCGGCAGCCTGGTCGTGATCTCCGATGAAGGTGCAGAAGTATGTTGTCGTTTTTGTCCAATGTCACGGCCTTTTCACAATTGTCACTGCCTGATGACCGTGACAATTGATCTGCCCGTGAGGCGTACACATCTTCTGATCCTTGCAATTGCCTTGGGCTTAGTTGTCACTTGTCACGGCCTCATGGCAGTGAGAACTACCCGCAAATCGTGACATTGGCATTTTCTTCACTTTTTGGCACTTTTCGAACTCTAATCGTCCCGAAACTCGTCATTGACCTTCCCACGCGTACTAGGAACTGAAATGTAGCAAAAATAACACAACCTAGCATAAAATAGGTTGAGGGATGTCATTTATCAAGTCAAACAATCAAGAAATGAGGGGTAAAATATGTGTAATTATGCCTGAATCAAACTCCCCCACACTTGAACGTTTGCTTGTCCCCAAGCAAATCAATCTCACACAAGGTAATCTTTCAACCTAAACACAACAACTCGGGGACAAATCAAAGGGGCACAAAGTGGATGGATCTCAATGTTTATTTGGAACCATGACGGTAGCCTCTAAATCAAGGACCAGGATACCGTACCGGACCGGCCGGTCGGACCGGAAAAACCGGAAACCGGACCTGGCCCGGCACAACAGGGGCTGTGTACCATCCAAGAGCCTGCCGGGCGGTTTTTACGGTTGGACCGTAATGGGCCGAAATTTCGGCTGGTTTTATTAAAACCGGCGGTCCCCTTAATTTAATCCAAACGGCGGCGTTTTTGAGCAAGCTAAAAAAAAAAAAAATTTGGAAGAGAAGCAGAGACTACACTAAACCCTACCTTCGGCTGCTGCGCTCTTCCTTCTCTCTACACTCTCCTCTCGTCTCCCCCGCGCCGCTCTGCCTCTCAAACTCGCTTCCATTTTCTCACCACCGGCGACAGTGGCGTCCCCAGCATCCAAACACCACCGGCGACAACGTCCTCCCCAGCATCCAAACACCACCGGCGACTCGTCCTCCCCAGCAACCGAAGACATCGTCGTTCACAGCCGCGCCGCGTCGGAGGAGAAAAACGGTTCGGTTGTTAATCAAGTATCTGGTTACCAAGCTCAGTTTGGATAGCGATTCAGAGGTTTGTTCAATCCTCCATTAGATCTTTCATTATGGTTACCAAGCTCCCTTGTGCTTGAACGATTTCAAGCTTGGGCCTGTGCTCTGGCTGTTGAAAGTATGCTGGATCCACCTCTCCCATGGTTTATTATGTTGTTTTTTTCTTTTCTTTTCTTTCTTTCTTTCTTTCCTGAAGTCTGATTAGTGTACTATTTTGTTTTGGTGGGAGGGCGTGGAGGGTTTGTGGGGTTTGTTATATAGTTGGAGAGTTGGGTATCTTATGGGAAGAGTGAATATGGACGGAATTTGGGGTGAAATTAGTGGGGAAAGGAGTAGACGTAGACAAATTTGTGTGTGTCAAATGTGTGTCACCCTTTTTTCAACTTAATGGAAAGCGGAGGTTGATAATCTTTTACCACAATCTGTTGTGAATGTGGTTCGGTGTGTTGATGTTGTTGAGTTAATTTTTTCTACATTTGGAGTTGCTTGAAGATATGGATTTGATTTCAAACAAAAGATCTAATTAGTAGTTTCTACTTTCTAGTTTGAGACATTGAACTCGTGGTTTGTGAACATTAAAGCTTAAACTTGTGGTTTGTGGAACATTAAGCTTGTGGTTTGTGAACATTAAGCTTGTGGTTTTGTACTAGTTTCTAAAAATGTATTTGGATGATTATGAGGTTTATTAGGTATTGAAATCTCGCACTTTGTTGAATGTTCCATAAGCTTATTTACTCTTTTACAGTTTCTTAGGCGGTATAATCCGGTATTATTCCGGTATTTTCCCGGTATGGTACCCTAATTATGTCGGTACGGTTTTTTAACAGAAAAATAATTTTTTAATCCAAAAACGGTATTTGCCGGTAGGAAAAGGTTGAACCATGGTTGTACCACGATTTACCATGCCAAAAACGATTCCGGTTTGATGTCCGGTACGGTTTCGTAATCCATGCTCTAAATGCTAGAGTTCACAAGGATGAGTGTCATCACTAGCTTGTCTGGAGGTCTTAGACACGGGTTCGAATGACTGGCTAGGGTCTAGGACATGGGGAAAATGATTTTTGGGTGGTGGCAAACATAGCATGAGATTCCACATCTTTAGCCTAAAATCAACACAAGGTTCTATGGTTTCGACTAAAACCTTCTTCTACAAGCAATGACCACTAGCATCAGCCAAAAACCACACTTCTCTCAATTCCAAACCACAACCAATCACCAAACCATTCACAACAAAAATTATTTGCTACACTTGATATCAAACCTTTCAAGCACAAAAGTGAAAGAGGTAAACAATCATGTACGTGTTCCTATGCTTGACTTCTAAGAAACACATTTTTAGAGCATACACGACTTTTGTGGTGGCTCCCCTTTCTTCTTAGCCCTCTTTATGTCTTTCCTTTTGTTTTCTTTTATTTACCACTTGTTGAGGGCTAGTAGAGAACTACAAACACATGCCACATTCTTGAACTTAATGAACAATGCTCACTTTTAAGAACTTCCTTCGACACTCACTTTTTCATCCTTAGCAAACCATGCATAAATCACTCATGTGGAACCTCAATTAAGCTCAAATGATATGATGGGAGCTTCAAAACACAACGGTGACTCGAAAATGGTGTTGACTTGAAAAAAGTAGGCACGCTCCATTTATCTCAATCAAGCTCAAGTAACAAGAGTTACCTAACACGAGAGCGACCCTTAGACACACGGCTGGAAAGGGTTGACTAAGGGATGATTCAATCGGGACTAGTCAATATTGGGTCGTGGACTAATCCTATGCCTCCATACTCCTTACTAGTGACAACGTGAATGCTACACATCATGATAAGAGGGATCTATCACACAAGAACAAAACGAGCTGCCAAATCTCACGTGACCACCTAGATGCTCAACCATTAATTCCAACTTCCAAATTTCTATGCATAACAATTGTGATCAATGAGTAATCAATCCAAAACATCCATTGGTTTGCAACCACATGAGAACTGAACATTTACAAAACCCTAATGCATATCTCAGTCATCATCATAGGTTGTTCTCAATCACAAACAAGTCATCCATACATCAGACTAATAGCCACGAGATTTAAAATAAAATACCAAAGGTGCCACTATGATCATGCAGATGTAAAAGTTGTTATGCTTGTAGCCCTCAAATTTTAAAATTTTGGGCATACAACTAGGCTTCAAGCACTCGAATATCACACTAAACATTCACACACACAAGCATAATAAACTACCCCCCCCCCCACCTTAAGCTCGATATTTCCCTCAATGGCGTAAAATAATGAGGTAGAACGATGTTACCAGATAGGGTGTGAATGTCGGTGGACGGGAGTGGAGGACGAGTCAGATCCGGAAGAGCAAGGCAACACCCAAACACCAAAAACTTCCCAAAGGTTTTCTTATTGAGGAGAAAAGAAAACAAACCGATGGAGTAGGTTGCCTCCCCACCAAGCGCTTCTTTAGCGTTGTCAGTCGGACGGTGATGCTGAAGTTTAGGTCCATCCCATTACCTCCTTCAAGTTGAGGTTCTCGTCGGTGATGTGGAGTCGCAAGTCATGAGCATTGGATGCTTCAAATGATGTAGATGGCTCGTGAACTTGGGAACAACCAAAATCTTCCTCCTATTCAATGCTCACTTCCTTCATTTCAACCTCTTCCTTCTACTTCCCATCCTTTTCTTCAAAGTTGTTCTCGGAAGGGGGAAAGTTATGAGAGTCGCCAATGAGACACTCTTATCATCCTCACCACGGGAGCTCTTCGGGGTGAGTTCCTCTTGCTCTACATAGTCTTCATTGCTCACCCTTTTGACCTGCACTTCTTCTTCCAATGGTGAGAGACGATGGCGTGCACAAGCTCGCGCAAACTTCTCTTCAAGTGTCAAACCAGGTGGAGGGAGGGGTTGGAAATCCATGTCGGAGCTCGTTCTTCTAAAGTACTCATGGCTTGCCTCTTCGGCTTCCTTTGCTTCTTCAAATGGTAGGAGACGATTGTGAGCAAGTTTTTCACATGCTTGTTCAACAATCCCTCCTAACCTCTCAGTGCTTCGAAGGATCTCCTCTGATGTCTGTAGGAAGGACGAGTTGATAGGATCAGTTGTTGGAAGATCCACATTTGAGCATCCTTCGTCGGTGCACCGGGAAAATTGCTCCACCATTAGCTCCAATTTGCTCTTGGGCTCCGATTGTGGAGTGGCACTTGGTTGTGAGGGATTCCCCACAAAAGCCTCCATGGCCAATTCCAACTTGGATTTCTCTTCAGTTTGTGGAGGGAAATTTTCTTGATATGGGGAAGCCTCTTTAGATCCCCATTGGTATGGTTTTTCTTCTCAGAAGGGAGGTTGATCATAGAACCCGGTTCCTTGGCTTCCATCCTCTTGGTTACTCCATGAAGCTCTGGGGTACCCCCATTTGGGTTGTTGTGGATACCCCACATGTTGTAGAAGCCATTGGGATCCATGATTCAACCTACACAAACAAAAACACTAAAAAGAAAATCAAACACACACAAACCACCCTTCAAAACAAAGAGTGGGTGAACAAAACACAAACGAAACACAAAAGCACAAATGGCTAAAGTAACAAACACAAGTCCTTTTCTGATAACCTAGAAGATGTTTCCCCGCAACGGCGCCAAAAACTTTGCTCGACTCTAGCTACACATCCCAATTATCGCCCAAGCATAACCGACGGTCGGGTGTAGCAGAGGGTAAGCAAGCAATAAGAATATCAAACCACGGGTCTCCTAGGTGTACCTTACTTCGTCTTGAGGGTTCGTTATCTAGCCAACCTAGAATAGTGATTAAGAAACTAACCTAACTACACTACCCTAACCACTACCCTAGCTAATTACAAGTGGTGGAGCTCTCTTAGCTTGAATCCCCCTAGTTCTATCATTTGGATTGATGTTGAGTACTATCCTAGCTCGATCGACTCACTACCCTACTATAATGAGATCAACTCACTCGGATTGACCTGGAATGACAAAGTGATGGATTGGTAGTGCTCTATCCAACCTAGGGATTCATATGTCGTTAGGAGGTCGATCAAATCAACTCCCTCAGGGATTACCCAGACAACATATGATAGGAGTGACCCAAATACAATGGGCTATAAGGGGATTATCTCCCTCGTAGGTCAAAATCTCAATTGACATGAAGTGGAATCCAAAATCATGCAACTCATGAAAACCATCCATCAAATAGATAAAATCATCAATCAAACATAGAATATGTCACATACATCAACTTCAAACCAAAATCTAGATCTACTGTTCATCAACCTAAGAGAAAGAGGTATAGTTCATATAGGCTTGAATCCTTAACTCCAAGATCAACCCAAGCTTCCATTTAAACTCCAAGATCACACACACACACACACTCTCTCTCTCTCTCTCTCTCTCTCTAAAAGCTCCTCTTTGGTGTTTTGAGTCGAAACACTAGAGAGAGAACTAAGTTATTCTCCAAAAACCAGCTCTCATTTGTCTCTCCTAGCTGCTGTCTTTTTATATGGCCCGACAGTCATTGACATGGTCAGATGTCACGGAGGTGGCCTCGGCAGCCTGGCAGTGATCACGGAAAAAAGTTTGGCACTTTTTGGACTCCAATCGTCCTGAAACTCATATTTGACCTTCCCACACTTACTAGGACCTGAAATATACCAAAAAATAGCACAACCTATTAAGTGGCAACCGTTGCAATTAACCCTCATTTGTGCGCTCATAGGTTGTTCTCTCTAGCAAGTACATCTTCTAGTATGGAACTTCTCATGAGCGGTGAGAGATGAGTACTTCAACTCCAAAGACCTTTTTAATGATTATTTTGGTTTTTGGGATTCTTCGCAAACAAGGCAGACACTTGGTAATTATCTGGTTCGTAGGTTTAATTGATTAGTTTGTTCCAACAATGGAAAAGAGTTGTGGTGGCGTGATGAGAGAAGGGGAAGGAGTAGTAGAAGATGAGTGAGGGGGAAAGGGGTAATTATTCAAAAATGCTTACAAAGTTTAACATTTGTGCAAAATGATACCCGTTGTTAAGTATGTGAAAGGTAATTATGATGATGAAACCATAATAAAATTTATATGATTTGGTTGCAACTAAAATTCGACTTGTGTGATTTAATTATAGTAAAAATAAATTAGATGGTTAGTCCACAATACCACCCTATACTTAAGTGGCACACCGTGCATTGAACCCTCTCATGGATGATCACAATGTTTGAATATGTGGTGGGGTGGATTAATTTGGATTCTCATGTACACTTAATTAATAACAAGCAATCTAAAAGGATAGAGGCGTTTCATTGACATGTAATTGAGTCATTATTGTCCTTTAACTAAACAATTTATCGATTGTGTGATGACGCCAAACCAAGGTTTGTTTTGATTCAATTTTCTCGTCCAACCCATTTATAAGTTATGGTTGAACCAAAGTTGAAAATCAGGTTGTTGCAAATCACACCAGGTAAAGAAAAAACTTTGATCCTCTCGGTTTTGTTGGTCTATTTCAACAATCAAAAATAGGTTCGTCAAGAAACTTAATTCATTTCAGGTTTTTTATCTTACCTTAGGGGGGAAAGAGGAAGGCCAATGGCAGGAGCGATAAACAAGTTCTTTGTTACCTCAATGTTCATGTGGATGGCTCCGATTGGGGTCCTTTTCGCCTTTAACCATGATTGGCTTCCTGGTAACTACGCTTCTCTCTCTCTCTCTCTCTCTCTCTCTCTCTCTCTCTCTCTTTTGTGATGAAAGTTCATTATTTATGATCAACATATTGCTACTTTATCGGCGACCCAAGTTCCATCCCGGAGGGTGCCATGAAATGATTAGAAGAAGATATTTAACTATCACTAGGAAAGTTGGTGTTATTTGAAATGGATCTTTCGCGATCCCATCTGGTTGGTTTCGTTTTTGAACAATGAGATTGGAAATGTTTTTTAATGAATAATTTATTTGTATTAACAAAGTAATTAAGATAGCTCGTGAATTACGAATTGCACAATAGTTCCAAAGTAGTAGCAACATGGTACAAAGTACCTATTAAATCAATATGAAAGAAAGTTACAACAAAGTTGCAGACAAGATTCAGATTGAGGAGTGAGATGAGGAAATTTTTATTTGAACACAACAGTAGGTAGAGATAGTCACTTGAATTCAATTCATTTGATTAACATATGTAATGAATGTTGATTGAGTGAGAGGTGAGGTGTGTGTCGGTTTAATTGTTTAAGGGTAAAATAGGTGGTTGGTCTAGAAATTAGGTTCATGTAGCTACTTAAATACTTCCTATCATCTACTCATGATGATGATACATAAAATCACCACTTTTCTGCTTAATAGTTTATACATCTTGATTTGTTTCATCTTTTACTTTACATGGAAAAAGGAACGCATGCTTGTATTAATCTACTTGCCTTTTCCTCTATTGAAAGAAATTGTTCACTATGATTCTAATAATAATGTGACTTATGGTAATTCATTTTGTTTCTTGTATGAATTTAGGACAAAAATTAATCGTGTATCTCATCCCCTGATATATTTTTGGGTATATAATATTAAGTATGTTTACAATCTTGGAGGGTTATCCAAAGATTTGAACAATATATGCAATTTTGTGGATCCACCATTACATTAGAGTCCACACTATATTTTCTTTTTCCTTTTGAAAGTATCTCACATATTGTGTGTTGGTACTTGACTTATTGTCATATAAGGGGAGACATGAATATATAAGGAAGCTGTGATATAATCTACTCATCTTGTGACTTGATTTCATTATTGAATACTCAATTTAAAATATCTTATCAACAAACCCTTTATTCTAAAAGCCAGATTGGAAGTTGGAATGTACATAATCCTTTGGCTAAATTTGTGGATTCTGTACAGGTTTGAGTCAATTATCACCACACACTCTAACATTGTTGAGTGGATTGGTGGCTGTCGTGTCAGTCAATATAGTTATGGGATTCTATATCTATATTGCAATGAAGGAACCAGTAGACAAGCATGAACCACACCCTGGATTTGTTGCTGAGGCCAGAGCTAGCCTCAACAAACTTAATAAAGGTAAAGCAACTTCAATGGTGTCCAAGAAAGATTAGCAGATAGATATTTAGCACTCTAGCTAATTAAAAACAATATTGGGTATTGTTGAATGTTCCTTTTAATAGTATAGTCAGTTTTGAGCTTTGGTATTTATGTATCTATACAGTGCTCCAAGGTGACACACAATTTGTTGTAACTTATCTTTTATCTTAGTACTTATCATTTATTTGAGAACTACATCGACAAATGATTATCTTGACATAGCATAATTATTTTATGGTCTAGGATGCACATAGACATATCCAAGCCTTCATTGAGTTTATTGACAGGATCTAGGTTGTTGGGGTGCCTCAATAAGATATTCGTTTGAGGTTGTTCCCATTTTCTTTGAGTGGAATACCCAAGAGAAGGTTGACAAAACAGCAACCCCACTCCATTTTGTCTTGTAAGGACCTTTATTAGAAGTTCTTAAACTAATATTCCCACCTTCGAAGATGGCCCAACGAAGCATTGGGATTTTCAACTTGATTTAGGAAGATGAGAACCTTTATTCAAAGCTTAAGATCTCTACAATTCCCTCCTCCTAAATATCATCATCAATGGTTTCCAAGATTCAGAACTCGTAGGATCACCGAGAGATATGAAACTTGCTCCATTATATGCATAAATTGTATCCAACTTGTAGATGTCACTCACAAACCTGTATGAGTTGGTAACAGTGTGTTCCAAAAATTCATGACATGAGATCAATGAATTTTGATTCCATGAAACTTTCTACAAGTACATCTTCTAACACGCTCATTATTGTTGAATTTCACCTCTGCCACATTCCTATATGTCATTGTACGATTGTTCGATGGAATCTTGATCTCGAACTTCCCTTCATATTGATTATACACATTCAGATTATGTCCAATTGCCTTGTCCGACTATTCTTCATGAACTCTTCACATTTTTTTAGTGGGACTTGTCGACTCTAATTTGTGTTTCAATCTCTAACCGTGGTCATCAAAATTCTTCAATACCCATCAAAAGGTGCGTTGCACTATGACAATGATAGGCAATGCACGAATTCCTTTGAAAACCACATTGATGCTCTCACCATATTGGATATCCTAAGGACCAACAACGTCCTCCCTCGACATTATCATGTGCAATGCTCCAAAAATATGATGCTTCTCAGCCCACTTGCTACATTATATTCCTCTTTCATTCGCCATTTTCACAAATTTACTACATTGACGATTGAACTTGAGAATACATTTTCCTAAACCTTTCGTTGAACAAAGTCAAATTAATTGCCAACAATAGAACACATTTTGTTGGCATAATGTCGCAGACACCACTTTCATACCCAACCTATTCCAATATCTCTAAGCAAGGTTCTAAAAGGCGCTAGGCGTAAGGCAGGCGCTCGGCTGCTGACTTGCGCCTTGCCTGATTAGGCGTAGCCTAGGCGCGCCTAGGCGTTCAGAGCATAAATGGAAAAAGTTCTCAAATATTTCCTGTTTTTTGGAATAATTCATATAATCCAAGTGCATATAAAATTATCAATGCCTAGTTCTTAACAGTAAACACTTAGCATAACAAATAACAAGCAAATAGTGACCACTTCCTAGAATCACAAATTCATAAAATGTCGAAATACTAAACAATAGCAATAAGTTCATAGGAAAATGTTCATTCTTCATCATCCAAGTAGGTCCGTCCAGCCACCACTTCATCTTCATCATCCTCAAAAGCAATCTCCTCACGATCCTCCTCCTCTTCCTCCTCTTCAGACTCTAATTCTTCATCATGGAGCTCTCTCACTCATGCACTCCTGCGAAGCTCACTCTGTTCACCCGCCATTGCATCCGTAACAGTACTCGAGGGTGCACAATATGATTCATCATCCTCATCTACGAATACATACATAGCATGGTCATCCCCTTCCCGTGTTTCTGATTTTCTAGGGCAAGAGGCAATTTTCTGATTTTCTAGGACAAAACGAAGAGTATTGGGTTTAACCGCCTAAGCTTGCCCAGGAACGCCCAGGCACGCCTTCTCTCCACTAGGCGCAAACTTAGCGATATTCCTACCTACTAAGCGCTACCAGCGCCTTTTACAACGCCTATGTCCAAGTCAAGGCGATCCCCACCGCCTAGCGCCTAATTGAGCCTAGGTGTGCGCCTAGGCGCGCCTTCTTGAACCCTGTCTCTAAGTGTTTCACTTAGCCATGCATGTCGGTCAGATATGATACATATGTCATTATGGTCAGTCAAGCTCTGAAGATGTCTAATGAACCATTACCAACTATGAGTGTTCTCGCTCTCCACTAACGTAATCAGGAATATTTTTTGTTTACCATCAAAGGAGTTTGCAATGAGAACCGTGTCATTTATATTTCCCAATGAGAAATGGTCCATCTACGAGGATGAATCCTAGAAAACTCTTGAAGCCTTGTATGCAAGGTCCAAATTCTCAAAACAATCGTTGAAAGATCTTGCAGCCTGGCATAGCATACCATGCCTTTTGTAACAAATATTAATTTGATACCTATATTTACACTCGTCTTGCAGAGCTTTGGCATGTATTAATCACGTTGTAGTACGTAGCCAAAGTTTCTGGTCTAAAGGCCATGATCTTATTTCCCTAGGATCTCTCACAAGTCACAACCACTTACTAATGTGGTGAGGGACGAGTTCTATGATTTTAAAGGCGACGGTGGAGGTTGAGGTGCATCCAGGAGGGGGGCGAAGTTCCTCTTGGTTTTATAAAATCGAAAAGGAAAAAAATATAAAACTAAATCCATAGCTATTGTCGAGTGGAGGAAAGCAAGAGGACGAGGCGTTGCACATGCAAGCTCCCCCTATAGTTCCTTAGACTCATGGCGTTCATCCCAACAACATATGAGTTGCTTGATCCTTGTGATATCTCACATACCTTGTGTCACGACATTTGCCAGAACTAGTATGCAACAAGGACCCTATGGATTTCTCCCTAGAGGTGTCACGCAGTTCGATCGATAGAAGATCGATCATGCATGATGGTTGTGTTTAGTTTTCACCCTACGCAATTGGGGTTTTGAGGCATACATCTTGAAGGGATGTATGCTTCATGAAGGTTTCAATCAATCAACAATAGATAACACTAAAGAAACAAGCAAGAAGATAGGAATTAACTCATCATATATACGCTAAAAGCCTAAAATCAAACCGACTAAGGGAACTAGCCGACCATGGGGATGAGATCCATGGGATACATAAGCCGAAATGAGAATCCCAAGGAGTTTTACAAATTGGCGCCCATAGGCCATAACAAAGATTTTTGGGACTAGGGCACTGATTTTGTGGCCTATTTGCCTCTGGTAGGCGGTTTTGCTCTAAGTCGGGTTAGTCAATCTGTAAGCAGAGTAACTACCCTATAATGCCCCCTATCACTGACTACCAAACTCCTCCCTCTAGAAGTCTATTTATAGACTTTCTATTAGGGTTTTGGAAAGAGAGGACATTCATCTAATTTGTCTTCGAGTCCCAATCAACCTTCTCTAGCTTGGCCACCACGAAAGGTATATTTTTGAAGATTCTAGAGATTCTTGACAAACCTTAAAATAGGTCCAAATGCCATTTTGGTGATATGGCTATTGAATCTTATGTCCTTTATGTCCTCTCTTCATTTCCTGCTTCTGGCTCCTAGTAGTCGAGTCTTGATGCCCCCCAACATATTCGAAGGGGTCCATCATGTTGTCATGCCCAAAAAACACACGAAAGACTACCAAGAGTCCATCCAATTGATAAAAGCAAGTCTAGTGCTACTAGAACTTACTTTGAGTGTTCACATTCAAATTCTAGATATTATGATAAATAAAAGTCAAAATCATGAAGTAATGGTCATAATATGAGTGAGGGGTCTACAAAGGTACTTTTCACGTGTCATCATGTACACTCGGCGATGACTAGAGGTGGCAAATGGATTGGATTCACGGATTGGGGGATTGGATTAGTGTATCCATGGATTGAGTGGATTGAATCAATTGGATTGGTGGATTCATGGATTTGATCAAGTGGATTGGTGGATTGATCCATGGTTCCAAATGACATTCAAGCCTTAGAATACCATGTAAAGTTTGAAAAGATTAAGCACTAAAATGTCATAATGAAAATTTGTAGGTACCAAACATAATTTTCCAATCATATTTTTTGTCTACAAAAATAAATTTTCGGTATCAAAATTTAAAATATAGGTACTAAATTATAATTTGCGATTTTGATACATGAATCCATCAATCCATTTGGATTTGGATTAAATGGATATTTAAGTGGATGAATTGGATCACCAATTGTCACCTCTAGCGATGACCATTCAGTTGAGTCATGTTGCTACAAGAATGCACCAAATCCGCCTTTTTAATTATCCAATCACCACAAGAAACTTTGGAGGAAAATAATCCATCCATGTAAAGTTGTTCTCCTTGTAGTTGTATCATTTCACCTTCCAAAGTTTTAGTGTTAACTCCACCACTCTAAATTGGAATTAATGTCCCCTCACGTAAAGTTTCATGGTCTTTTGTGCAACTTCTTTTGAACGAAATATTTGAAAAATGTAGAACTCTTGTTCTAGATGACTTCCTAGTTCATATTTCATATATCCATAAGAGTCAATTCTCATATCATTGTCATAATCTTCGGGGAGCACAATAAATCTGTTACAGGAACATATGTCTCTAAGTTTGATGTAGCAGCTCATTCGATAACAACTCGATGCTCGTCTTCATCAACCTCATCACCATCAGCCTCGTCCCCATTCGTCTATATGATCATCTGGATCACTAGGAACACTACTTGAACGCATATTGGGTAGGGCTTTCAGTCGGTTGGTTTCGGTTAAACCGAAAACCAAAAATTTGGTTATCGGTTAAACCGAACCACACCTGACTGTCGCCGGGCACCGACCGTGAGGAAGCCACGGCTAGCCGACCACCGATGGGTCGGCTTTCGGTTTTGGCCTCGGTTAGCCGTAAAAACGAAATTTTGATGGCTCTTTATTAAAAAAGGAAAGAAAGAGAGAGAAGAAAAGAAAGAATAAAAAAAGAACAAGAAAAAAAAGAAGAAGAAAAGCACACACACGTCTCTATCTCTCTCCTTATCTTCTTCTTCTCTCCTCTTCACACGTTTTCCTTATCTTTTTCTCCTTCTCTCCTCTCTTCTCCCACCTTTTACGAAAAATC